GTGCGTGCGTGCGTGCGTGCGTGCGTACATGCGTGCGTGCGTGTGTTCATGCATGAATGCATACGTGCATAATATGTTTTAACCAAGACATGTTAACACATCCACAGGAGCATCCTTTTACATTGGCGGAAGCAGTATGTTTGACGATGTTCAAAGCCTCGCTGGCAGATCATCTGACCCTGAACGTGCTCTTGTATGGCATATAGCAAAGGGCGCGGCCTTGAAGTACGGGGTCGCACAGAATGCGATGTCAGCGGCCTTTAGGTACAATGTAGCTTCAAGGATTACGATGTTTACATTGTTTTTCATTTTGAGTGTCTAAACTCGTTTGATTGCTTTTTATAGTTTTTATTTTTTCCTATCATGAAACAATAATGATTGTTTTGATCTTTTATACAATAATACCTATATGAACTGATCCACTCAATTTATAGTGTTCTTTACATTCTTTAAGTCCTATGTTCTTTTCCCTATTTTCTCTGTTGCTCTACTTTCCTTCTTTTGTTGATTTTTATTCTTACTTTCATTGCGAATCTCTGTCTAATCAACAAAAGTTTGAGACCTACACTATTTAATTCTGGTACTATCTCCACTGCTCACCAAAATCACCAAATCACTTACTTCACGAGTGGTATGACCCAGGCTAGCAAGCACTGCTCTAGAATAATGGAAATATGGTGAGTTTTTACTGAGGCTTCCTACAGAGAGGGGCTGTGTCGAAGGGTATTGTTAAGAATTCTCGCAAGAACAACCATGACAAGTTTTGCCTTACGCCATGCATTAGAAAACATTGTTGAGCTTGTTAATTAAAAATTCTTGCTAGAGCAACTGTGATACGTTATGACGGACGCCATGCATTAGAAAACAATGTTATAAATGTCTGTATGTGTTCAGCTCCGTACAACAAATACACTGTTCATTATTTCATTGAAAACGCTCGTTCTGTTTATTCGACAACGCTTGAAGACACGCTCTTTTTGAGGGACTTAAGAAAGAAGCATAACTTCTTTATTCATAAAGATGTATTAATCACGTTTTTATTTATCTGGAAATTTAATTCAATCTGTATCTCGTACAGATGCATATTATTGCCTTTCGTTATGCCTTTTAAAACTTCATACTGTGGTATAAAAAGAGTTAAACTTAAATACAACAACACGCACATGATGAGTTGTGCACATTTGTATTTCTGCTTGATGTAAGGTGGACTAAGATCTGCCTGCAGCATTGCCTTTGGTCTACTGCAGATCGGACACATGTATCCGCTATGTCATCAATGTGTTAAGGAAGGATGTGGGTTGAAGAGGGGAGAGGGAGATAGATATTATAGAGCATAATATCTTATTATGACTTGTTCACCTTCTTTGACTCTTATCAATCAGTTAATTAACTGCAATTTTGTTAAACTTGGTGCTCAAGCTCAATGTTTTAAGCAGGCTAGTATACCCCTTTTAGTTGCTCTTCCAAACCCATTTTCACAGTATACATTGTCCTATTATGTTTTTAGAATGGTGTATTCTGTGTCTGGTCTGGTACTGCATTTTGCCTAAACTATCTCCATTTTGTTTCCTGCAGACGATTTAGCGGACGCGGCGAAGGTCTGGAGGCCGAAACGCCCGTAGCCAGCCAATGTCTCAGACTGAACTTCCTCGATGACAGGGGCTTGGAGTTTGTTGACTGTGAGAACCAAATAGCATCCATTTGTCAGAAAGGTAGGCATCACACAATAGCAACATTTTTATGGTGTTATCGGGAAAGAAAAAATAGGGGGGCCGGGGAGGGGAGTCCGGAGTAGTTTTGTTTAAATTTTGGTTTTTGAGTTTTAAACATTTTGTTTTGTTTTGCTTTTGTTTTTTTCTCAAAATTTTCATTGCTAACAAACTGTTTTGCTGTAAGAATTGCTTTATAGTGAGGGTAACCATATACAAACTTGCTGCAATCTGTAATGCAAAATTTGGTGTTAAGCATAAAACTTGTCTTACTCTTTACCATTTGTCTCCCCCCCCCCCCCCCCAAGTCGAAGACTTGGAGCATGACCCTAACGCTGTTTGGAGTCCATGGATCAGTGCTGGAAAAGCAAAGTTTGGCGACGTCGAGACGCTGGGGGTGATCGTTAACGGCTACAACAAAGGCATTCTTGTAAGTTGATTTTTATCATAAGTACAGATTGTAATACAATAGAACATGACTATAGCGGCACCCGCTGCAGCAGGACCATCCTTACAGCAGGACCTTATCAGAATCCCTCTTTCTTTTCTATGTATACTAAATTACCTGTTCTTGAGTATAGCGGGACAAGGAAAAGCCCAAACTTGGATACAGCGGGAGAGATCGAGCGAGCTCCGGCTAGTTGGAAGGGGGTTGGGGGGGGGGGAGGTTGTAGGCGGGCTCCAAACAGGCAGTCAGCGGAGCGGCGTTGTGATTGGCCAGTCCAGAGATGAGAAAGGTGGGGCAAGCGGCAGAGAGAGACGAAGTGGAGCGACGCGTTACGTGAGATTCCCCAAAAGTGATGTGCCATAGCCCTAGCAGGCCAAAAAGTAAAAGAAGAGGAACGCATGTAGGCCTAGTATGTGATTCCTGATTGATTGAATTGCGATCGTTTATGCTCAGGCGTACGCACGCATCCACTCCATCAGTTCT